TATCTATCCTTATGATTGATTTTAATTTCATAAAAAATTATTATTTTCCTATATTTTAATGCACACATAATTGCATAAATAAATCAAATTTAACTATTTTAAAAGAATGTAAATTTTAGGGTGTTACAATTCTACCCCCTTAAGATGAATATCGTCCTCGAGATTCGGATGATTGCTTACTCAAATAGTTGTGGATAAGACTTTCGCAAATCCTCTTCTCTTTCCCAAGTAGCCTCATCCTTTGTATACCGATTCCACTGTACCTTGCACATTTTTATAACTCGGCACCTTATAACTCTTTCTAGCATCTGTAAGATCTTTATCGGATACTCTTTATATGTGAGATCTTCCTTAACAGCTAGTTCTTCTAAAGGAATCTGCTCTTCTGGTAATCGCAAACACTTCTTTAACTGAGAAACATGAAACACATCGTGCACACCTGACAAACTCTCAGGCAGTTTCAACTGATAGGCTACTTCTCCACGTCTCTCTAGGATCTTGAAAGATCCAATATACCTCGGTGTCAACTTTCCCTTCATATTGAATCTTTTCACACTTCTCATTGGTGACACCTTCAAGTATATATAATCTCCAACTTCGAAAGTCAGCTCTCTTTTGCGAGTATCAGCGTAACTCTTCTATCGGGACTGAGCCACTCTCAAGTTGTCTCTAATCATTCTCACTTGTTCTTCTGCGTCTATAAGGACATTAGGTCCAAACACTTGAGTTTTACCAGTCTGATTCTAGAACAAAGGCGTTCTACATTTACGCCCATACAGCGCCTCAAAAGGTGCCATCTTGAGACTCTTCTGGTAACTGTTATTGTACGAGAACTCAGCATATGGCAAACTCTTATCCCAACTAGTACCATACTGCAGTGCACAAGCTCTCAACATATCTTCCAAAATCTGGTTGATCCTTTCAATCTGTCCGTCAGTTTGTGGGTGGTAAGTAGAACTGAAATTCAACTTTGTCCCTAAAGATCTATGTACTTTCTGCCAGAATTGCGACGTAAACTGAGTGCCTCTATCAGACACAATTTTCTTGGGAACACCATATAAGCACACTATCCTTTCCATGTACAACTCTGCTAGCCTTGCACCTGTATAGGTAGTCTTGACTAGTAGAAAGTGAGCAACATTGGTGAGTCGATCCACTATTACCCATATTGAATCATAACCTCTTTGAGTGCGGGGCAAACCTACGATAAAATCCATACCAACTTCTTTCCATTTCCATTCAGGAATCTTCATTGGTTGTAGCAACCCTGTAGGTCTTTGATGCTCAGCTTTCACTCTTTGACAAGTGTCACACAAAGCCACATACTCTGCCACATCTCTCTTCAAACCATACCACCAATACTTCTCTTTGAGATCCAAATACATCTTGGTACTTCCGGGATGTATAGAATAAGCAGACTCATGTGCCTCTTGTAGAACTGCATCATGGATAGCCTTCACTTCATGTACACATATCCTTTTCCCAAACCAAAGAGTACCATTCTCATCCATCCTGAATCCTGGTGCCTTTCCAAGCACTATATTCTTCGCTATCTCCTTAAGTTTTTCATCCTCCAATTGACCTTTACGTATCTCTTGCTCTAAGGTAGGCTCTATCGCCAATTTCATTGCATTAGTGACAAAGCTCAAGTTGAGATGCTCCATTTCAGCACACAACTCTGCTGGCATAAATATCATCCGAAGTCCATTGGCATAACTCTTCTTGCTAAGTGCATCAGCTACGACATTTGCTTTTCCCGGATGATAATGCACATCCAACTTATAGTCTTTGATCAATTCTAACCAACGACGTTGTCTCAGATTTAGATCTGACTGTGTAAAGATATACTTCAAACTCTTGTGATCTGTATAGATATCATCTTATGCCCAATTAGATAATGTCTCTAGATTTTCAAAGTATGAACCACAACTGCCAATTCCAAGTCATGAGCAGAGTAGTTCAACTCATGCTTCCTCAATTGTCTAGATGCATATGCCACCACTCTTCCTTCTTGCATAAGAACACATCCAAGATCCAGACGAGATGCATCACAATATATAGAGAAGTTCTTGCTTAAATCTAGCAAAATCAACACTGGAGCTGTAGTCAATCTCTTCTTTAGCTCATCAAAGTTTGCCTGGTATTTATCAGACCATACAAATTTAGCATTCTTTTCCAATAGAGTTGTCATTGGCTTAGCAAGCTTGGAAAAACCTTCAATGAACCTCCTGTAGTACCCAGCCAATCCCAAAAAGCTACAAATCTCACTTACATTGGTTGGTGGTTTCCAATTCAATACATCTTGCACTTTGCCTGGATCCACTGCTATTCCACCATTGGAGACAACATGACCCAGAAAAGAGACCTTCTTCAACAAAAACTCACACTTGCTCCGCTTAGCGTACAACTTATGTTCTCTAAGCTTTTGCAAGACCGACCTTATATGTTCAGCATGTTCTTCTTCAGTCTTGGAGAATATCAGTATGTCATCAATGAATACCACCAGAAATTTATCAAGAAACTGCATGGACACCTTATTCATCAGATACATAAAGTATGCAGGTGCATTGGTCAATCCAAAAGACATAACGGTATACTCATACAAGCCATACCGTGTAGTGAATGCTGTCTTGGGTATGTCCAAGTTTTGAATCTTTAGCTGATGGTAACCTGAGCGGAGATTTTAGTTGATGGCATTGGCCTTTTGACTTTTGGATCAAAACTACTCAACGCAATAAATGAAATGCTACTGCATGAGTGCATCAACATGTATCTATCCTTATGATTGATTTGAATTTCATAAAAATTATTATTTTCCTATATTTTAATGCACACATAATTGTATAAATAAATCAAATTTAACTATTTTAAAAGAATGCAAATTTTAGGGTGTTACAATATTGTATAGAAATAGAGATTTAGAGAAAAAAAGCCCTCCCATAGTTTCTTCAAGCAAATATCTTCAAATATTGCAATCCTGTATTTCTAGTTTCTCGCTAGCCAAAGATATAGATTGGAGTGACTCTCCAAACTGTGCATTATATAAAAAGCTATTGAAAGGTGGAAATATATAGAGAGGTTTTCGTTCAAATGACTCTCTAAGTGAGGATATAGATAGTGAGTTTAAGAAAGACTCTTAGAGATACTTTTAGCCTATGTCTAAGCTTGTGTAATGCAGTAAGTAATTTGCTCGTGTTTGGTTACCTGCATATACTCTTATGCAAGCATGCATAGTGCTCAATGCAGGTCCAATGTTGCATTATCTAGTACACCAGATTTGGTCATATTAGATAATACAAGTTTGCACAAACCGCTATGCACACAGAAACGAATTATTCTCATTATATCTATTAGAAATATGAGACCTCCACTATGGAGGTGACTACACATGGCATGGTTAACACATATATTGATCAATCTCTGCCAATCTCTGCCACCGAGAGCAAGTTATACAAGCTAGAGATGAGTAATGCGCTTGTATAAAAAATGTTGTTCAACAAGGCCTTTAAAAAAAATGGAAAAAAGCTTATCATGAGACCCGGGGGAATGGAAACCGTCACTGGAAACGAGAACGAGACTGGGGAATAAAAATGAGATAGCGGAAATATGGAAACGGACAAATATTGATAGGAACCGAAAACTTAAACTAAGATCATGACAGAGCTTAGAGCTTTAGTGTGTGGTATTTGACATGTTAGGATCTTGTTGAAGTGCCTCACTTGATGCCCCTCGGGAGGGCTTTCTGAATTCTTGAACTAATATTTGCCGTACAAAAATCTAATGTTCGAAGGTTGCTACAATAATAAGCATTAAAGCTTATCTTGTATTTCTTAAGAACTTGTTTGAATACACATGATTAGTTACTTGTTGGGGCTAAAAATTGTTTAATATGATTGACTAGCTAGTTTTTTTTACGAGTAGGTTGACTAGTCAGTTGGCTAACAACTATTTGAAGACTTGACAAATAAATTAGTCCACCTATTAATCCTCATGTTTAGAGATATACTAGAGCTAATTCAAATTATTTTTTTAGCTAACTAGCAATTAGCCCTTATAAAAAAGGCAACGTATCAGGTGCAAACTAACTAACATGTGCAAATTTAGAAACTACCGATCAGGATCACTAGATTCTGATCCAATGAATAGGGTGAGAGATGGATTTTTTTTGTGCTTAAGCCCTCCACCCGCCGTCCTTTTTTTTACGCTTAAGCCTCCCCCACCCACCGTGATAGTTTCCAAGTTTACATAAATTGGTTAGTTTACACATGATATGTTGCCTATAAAAAAAACCTTATTACGAAAAACACATCATTCCGTTTCCTATCCGGCATTTTCTCACAAATACGAAAACAGATATTTTTCGTTTCACCATTATTCGGGTTCAAATGGGCCTTGATGGCCTAGCCCACAATACACAATTCAGGACCCTAGCGCCTACCGGGTGCTCCCCTGCCGCCGCCGCGTCTCCACGTCGACTCGCCTCCGCCGCCGCGTCTCCACGTCGACTCGCCGTTCACTCACCTTCCCTCCTCTTCCCCCAAACACTCCCCGCCACCCCCCCTCTCTCTCTCTCTCTCTCTCTCTCTCTCTCTCCCAACATTGCTAAGATCCCTGTGATTTGTTTGGTATTACACCTATGTAATGAAGTAATGGTGCAGAGGGTAAGGTGGCCGTGGGTGCTTTATTTTCCTTGTCTGCATTTGTAAAATTCTAATGATATGCTATGCTTCGATGTCATTTTCTGCACATTGGTTGTAACTAGGTCCATGTTTTTTTTGTGACCAGGACCAGCAAGATGCTATCGCCAGATCAAGAACAAGCCATACCCAAAGTCAAGGTACTGCCGTGGTGTCCCTGACCCCAAGATCAGGATCTATGATGTTGGGATGAAGAAGAAGGGAGTGGATGAGTTCCCCTTCTGCGTCCACCTGGTGAGTTGGGAGAAGGAGAACGTTTCCAGTGAGGCTCTTGAGGCTGCCCGCATTGCGTGCAACTAGTACATGACCAAGAATGCCGGGAAGGATGCCTTCCACCTGAGGGTCTGGGTCCACCCGTTCCATGTCCTTCGTATCAACAAGATGCTTTCATGTGCTGGGGCTGATCGGCTCCAGACTGGAATGAGGGGTGCTTTTGGCAAGCCCCAGGGTACCTGTGCTCGCGTGGACATTGGTCAGGTCCTCCTTTCTGTGCGCTGCAAGGAAAGCAATGCTAATCACGCTGAAGAAGCCCTCCACCGTGCCAAGTTCAAGTTCCCTGGCCGCCAAAAGATCATCCGCAGCAGGAAGTGGTATGTGGCAATGAAGATGCTTTGCTGTTGAACCCAATGTCAAGTCACAGCATTGATGAAAGGTTTGAATTTAACTTGTTTGGTGCATTGTCTTGATTTTTCAAGGGTTTCACCAAGTTCACCCGTGCTGAGTATCTGAAGTACAAGAGTGAGGGTAGGATCGCACCTGATGGTGTCAATGCTAAGGTAAAAAAGCTCCAGTTACTTATTTATATATGTGTTGCTGTTTAAGCATCATATGCTTCACATGAAGAACTGATCTTGAATAATTGTTTCTGTTTTGATTCAATTCCAATGTACAGAATATGACCTTTTGCTTTATGGGCTATTCTATAAGTGGCCAATCTATGTAATACTGGTTCATGTCTTGGCCTTTGTGCAGCTACTTGGTGTTCACGGTCCCCTGTCTAAGCGTGCCCCTGGGAAGGGGTTCCTTGCAGAGAACATTCAAGCGTCTGCGTAGACTATGGCCTGTTCGGCTGGTATTAAATCAGCCGGCTAAAGCTGTTTTGTAACGAGAGAAAAATACTGTAGATTCTAGCTGATAAGCCGGCTGATAAGTTCAAGCGAACAGGCCCGGCATGATCTACTTGTGTAGCATGATCTAATTTTCTGCCAATTGGAACTCCATATATTCTGCTTAGTCTAATTTTCTATGCTAGAACTTTGTTAATGGCTATTGCTTGCAGCATGATCTACTTGTGTAGCCCAGTTTCATATGGTGGTTAAATATTCATATCATAATAGATTGTTTGAACCCTTCCTATGATACCTTGTTAACTATCTCGCTTATTTGAGTGGACATGGTTGATTCTGTTTCAAAAAGCTACTTATTGCTGCTTTGCCCACTTGATGGGGGCGACTAGAAAAACTCATTTCTGAAAGAACGAATGTTGGCATGGATTCTTAGCTGTGGTATCTCATGTCACTAGACTCTGAGCATGTGTGCAGTGTGCTCACTTCGGGCGCCATCTGCGTCCCGTCGCTTTCGATCTGCACCGTGAACTTGTAAACAGTTTGAAAGAATCGATCTGCACCGTGAACTTGTAGACAGTTTGAAAGATTTCTGTGCTCTGCGGAATTTCTTGCACCAGCTATTTTACGCTGAGCCTAGTTATTAACAGCTAGTGTGCATTGTGAACAACCAACAGCTAGTGTGCTGAGTGTGCATACTGCATTCTCTGATCGGAAAGGGCAAAAGGTGAACGTACAAATTCTTCGTTTCAAAAATTTTTAATGCCAAACAAGCTCATCTTCCGTTTCTTTTCCAAATATCCCTACCTTCTCTTCCAATATAATCGAATAAACCGCCCACTATGAATAATCATGCAGTTCCCCCCACCTTACACTGTAGATAGATCAATCATCAATCCTGTAAACTGTACGAGGGACGGTGAAATTGCCGTGAATAATTAACAATTACTACAAGTTTACAACATATATGCCACACTTGCAGCATGTATGTACAATACTAAGAACATCTGTGCTGTGTCGTCTTAGACACATCATTGGATAACATACCCAGTATTAGATTTCGTCTCTCCAATAAAACAGGGGTGGAAATTAAATAGGCAAGACAACACGGCAATTACTGTTCTCCACAGTTATCCATCGCAAGCTGGGAACGAATAATTAACTTATGGCATTTATCTGTCCTCTCATCGAAATCTTTGCTTGTCAGTTGTCACTGAGATGTAGGATAACTCTCTTTTTTGTGTGTGGATACTTCGCACGATCATAAGAGAAAAAACAGCTTAAACCTGTTGGTACAAAGCCCAAGTCTAAAGGATGACAATGTTCATGAACTTCCTCTTAGCAAAAGCCAACCACCATTTGTTAGGAAAGCCATTAGCTCTGTATGCACAGTTGAGCAATCTTCCACTTGTTTCCTCCCTTATCTGCTTCAAATAATTCCTCAACAATTCTGCATTCAGACACAGATATGCACAATCGTCAATTTATCAATTGGAATCCATGGGTAGACAAATGTTTTACAGACTTAACCAGTCTACAATGACAACAAACATAATTATGTGCATACAATTGTAGACGAAACTGTATACCTGCTTCCTCCTGGGACTGGGGAAGAGTGAAAAGTCCAGGGAAAGGAAACCCTGGTTCCCCAGGTACAGGAACTTTCTCCAATCCCAGATTAATGATTGCCTTAGTCCCAACAGCTAGTGTCCGGCAACCTTCTAGTCTTTTTAAGGCAATATTGATATAAAACGTCAGATAGATCAATAACTTGTCTGCTGAGCTTTTCACATGGAAATTTTTGAAGAACACATTGGCTCGAAAGAAAGTTATGGCTTCATCAACAATGTCCGCTTTATCTGTATAACATGGACATAAATAAGAAATTCAGTATGGTCTTATAGTAGTGAAAGTAGTAGTACATCATCAAATGAGTGTAGCCACGATACCAGGGTCAGAGGCTGGTGCTGGGCCCTTAATATGAGTTTTTAGTGGAAGCAAAGGACAGCTGCAAGCTTTTCTGATCCCATCATCAACGAAACTAGAGTGATAAACCTGGCCATCCAATTCATGCATTTATTATTAGTGTTTCTTAAAACCAAACTGCACTTAGACATCATCACCTAATCAGAACCAAAATGTAACTATTATAACCAATATGGAAAAACCAATAGAAAAGACCCATCTAAAGTAAATAACCCATGAAAAGGTTTCATTAACAGTTTAACTCCACATGAAGTAGTATAATTCCACAACATTTATTTTCTGACTTTTCTTCTGTTGTACTACCTCAACTGTTGTAAGAGTTTACCATAAAATAACAAGACAGCAATCTGGAAAGTAAGTTAGTCTTGAAGAGCATCATAAATTTCTTTGTTTGTCCCCATTTTATTTGTGTCGATTTCTCCTTTAATCACAGTTTTGCACTCTTGCAGAATATCATGTGCACATAATTCATCTAGTTATTATTTTGCAGATCAAGCAGCTAATATAAGTATTGTACTCCCTCCATCCCAAATTACAAGTCGTTTTGGCTTTTCTAGGTACATACTACATAGCTTTTGCTATGCATAGGTATACACTATGTACATAGTAAAAACTATGTATCTAAAAAAAGCCAAAACGACCTATAATTTGGAACGGAGGTAATACCTTGTAAGCTAAAAACTGAATATAGAAGACCATGTCATTAATTTGGATCCAGGCATAAAAAAAGTTGTCAGATGATAACTTTGGATATGTAGCAACACACTGGATTAATCAAAGACAACACTGTTTTTCTGGTAATATAGTACCACAAATATCTCATTGAATTCTGCATTCTATTTGACAACACTTAATGGTAAAACCATACTAAATTTTTGTAGGCACTGCTCTACCTAAGAATTACCTTGCCAAAAGCATTTAAAGGTACTCGATTCTTTATAACTAACTAGAGTAAAATAGTCTCACACTCTAGTTTACGAAATGTCTCGAACATGCACTTAATCCCATTTGATTCTGCAACAAATGACTGGCGATGTACTACTAAATAGGCTTGTGCACCTGTAGCAGTAGGATATCTACACCTTATGAGAGGCTTCCCTAGCGAGCTCTAGCATTCAGCATTCTGAGAACTTCTAATTATCTGGTTCACAATAAGCATATTTAAAATGGCTAATCGTCGAGTCTTGATCATGAATACAGCTTTGCCACAGGTAGATGCAAGATTGATTATTGATCCAATTGGAAATGGAATATACACCATGACACAATATTTCCGCAGACACCCAGACGCATTCCAATACCAAGACTATCCAGATATCCAGATGGTGACAGGCACATGTGAACAGAGTAATCTAATAACACCATCCATCCACACTAGGAAGGTACGCCATATTCAGATCCTATACGAGTAAAATGTAATTCTGGGAAGTCAAGGGGGGTAAAGAGATGGGTACCATCTTGCGTCTCCAAATCAGGAGAAGCTAACGCAGACGATTCAAGGTCGCGGCGGCGGCGAAGCACAACCCTGGTCGTGGCCGGAGAGGGGAGCAGATGGGAATCTGGGGGAGGCCGAGACCGGGAGAGGATGATTTAGGGAAGGTCGGAAGGAGGAACGGAGATCGTGTTTCGCCCCTGGCGGATCGAAGCTGCTCGATCCGCAGCTCGCCCCGGCGCCCACGGTTGTCGGCTCAGTCTCCCGGAGGCCGGAGCCGCCGCCTTGTCCCAACTCCCACCCGTCCGCACGGGTTGACACCTCTCGGATCTGGGCGCTCAGCTCCGGGAGGCGGCAATATCCCAGGCTGAGCGCGTGGAATGGGGAGCGATTGAGGAAGGGGAGATGAGAGGGGTGGTGGTAGAGGTGGCCGGCTGCCGCTGGGCGAGAGCCGAGAGACGACAGAGGCGCAGGCGGCGGCGGCGTCGTCGGTCGGCAAGGAGAACGAGCGTGAGAGGGGCAGAGATAAAAGACGATAGACGGCTATTTTCTCGAATGTTGTTGCATGGCACGAGTGAATTTGCCATGACAATAGTCGTTCTATTTTACTTTAACATCAGTTTTTACCTTAAATCAAATATTAATATTTTTGACCATCTATTTAATTTTTTTAGTTTCACAACATGCAAACTATATTATTATAGAAACATTTCTCATTACAAAGCTAAAAACATAAATCTTATGCTATGAATCTACATATTTTTTTTAATTAATAATTAAAAATATAAATATTTAACTTAGAACAAAGCAGATACGTCAAAAAAGAACTAAAGGAGTAACTCACTAGTGTTATGGTATTGTCTTTTATAGCCTTTAAACATTAATTGTTTTATATGCTCTCCAGGGATGAGAATGAAACGGACAGGAACCTTAGCCGTTTTATATATGCTCTATAGGTCTTGTTTATTTCATCCCAAACTAAGGGATTGTGAGGGTTAGGAGTTAGGATGAAACAAACGAGGCCTTAAGGGGTGTGCTAGAGATCACTTCTTTTCTTTACTCTCCATCCTTCTCACTTAAAAAAAGTAATACTATACAACACTCGATTCCTCCTCGCGCCGCGCCCCACTAGCCCGCGCTCGTGCCGACGAAAAAGATGACGGCAACGACTAGGGTTCTGGCGGCGGCGACGGTGGTTCATCGCCCTCTCTCTCCGACTCTCCCTCTCTTCTTCCCCAACTTGGTGGGCTTAGAAGGGGCCAGGTGGTGGGGATGGCGGGAGGGCGGCGATTAGGGTTCTGGCAGCGTAGGAGACGGTCAAGCCAAGTCGGGGCGGGGGTGTCCATGGCCATGGTGTCGGCGGGAGGGGGAGGGAAAGAAGGAGGTCGCCGCAGGCGGTACGGTCTTGTCGAAGCTCCAACGAGACCCTACCGTGTCTTTTGGGCCCCGAATAAAGTGGGCTAGGCGACCTCCGGGGATCTATATATGTTGGGCTTTAGGAAGAAGACGACGTTGGGTTTGGGTGAGAGCCGTGAACCGTTGGATAAGGAGATCGACACTCCAAAAATCGAGTGTTTTTTACTTTTTGGCCCCGAATAACGTAGTGCTGGCTAGACGGCCTCCTTAAAAAACATAACACGGATCTATATATCCGGCTAGCATGCGTGACACTTTTGTTAAGCACGGTCCTATCTAGGTTTTTAATACGTTGACACCGTGACTTTTGTCATAAGATATTCGTCTTTTCTATATACTATGCAAATAGATAGACTACAACACAAAACACCCTTTTTATAATGATAAGTATAGTAGTACTGTTTTTTACTTAACTAAATAATTGAATAAACATTGTTGGTCAAAGTTTAAATTAAATGTCATGGTATCAATTACTAGACGCTTAACCCCACACAGCCAAATTAAGTACATACTTAAAATTATAGGGGATAACATCTCACCAAGAGTCTCAACATCAAAGTGGATTTGGGTCTCTAGACGTTGATGCATCCATATCAACTTCAAAAGGTGCAGTGCAGCCTTGGACATGTTAGGTGCCTAATATTCCACCGTCAGTTTGGGTGGATCCTACTCCATCGAATTGGTCTCCGTTGATTATCATAACCGGTCTCCGCCAGCCATCGGGAAAGACTGGTAGGACTTTGGTTACTTTGAGTATAATTTCACCATCCGCAGTATCTTTATATATCTTCATTCCAGAACTAAAATTTCCATACATCAGTAGCCGATTCCTTTTTTTAATAACACGCTAACATCGAGTCACAATTCACAAATTAATTCACACATCAGCAAGTTCTCACATGCATGCCCTGCTCTCTTGCCTCAACAACAAAGGATCTTCCAAAAGAACCTCAGTTATGCTAGTCCGATCCATCACCGACCACACATTCTGCCAAGAAATTGATTTTCAAGGGTATTTGTGTTCCCACCCGTATAAATAGGTGATTTCTTTTCTTTTTTAATAATGAAAAGAGTTTCGGTTTCAAACTTCTTTAGAGAAGAAGCATCAGACCAAACATATTACAGAACTCATACACCTTAAAGTTTAACATAATACAAGCACCCACACCACTAAAGTCCAATATGAAAAGTAAACGACCAGCCATTATTAGCTATGGCGGTGCTCGGCTGACATTAAATGAGCACTGTAGCAATAGTTGAGAAAACACTGTTCTAGCTAGAAAAAAAAAAGATAAGACACGCTCTGCGAAGAAGCTCAGATATTGACTCCAGGGTTTTGCATGCCTTTAAGATGCACTCTTTATTGTCATCCGAGCTCTCTGTAGAAAAGATTTTGTCGTGCATTTATCAAGCACCAAGTCATTTCTGGTGAGCCAGACTCTTCAACACATAGCTACAACTCCTATCAATAACAATTGATTATGCTTAGTACCACCTAGATAATTTTCACCAATTGTTAAAAAATTGGAGAGAATAATGCCTTGGTGGGTTAATTCCAAACACATACGCCGTGTTCGCTGGGCTGGCTGGCTGGGGCTGGGTTGGTCAGCCCCCTCACAAAAACACTGTTCATCAGAATCAGCCAACAGTACTTCTTTCTCACATAAACGAATCAGCAACGATACGAACTAGCCAACCGAACAGGCCAATAATACACAACACACCAAAGAAATCAAGTGTAATGACACTAAAAGAAACAAATTTCGAATTGTTTTAGGTTTACTACAAAAGCAACACTTCTTGCTATCATTCCAGTTTCTCCTAGCAAGCTTATATTTTGTAAGAATCACCCCTCTTTTATGAAACCAAAGGATTTTTATTTTATTTTTAGAGGTACTTCATACATCAAATCTCCTCGTAACTAATAAACAGTTGTTGATTAGATAACTATACATAGATTTTACAGAGAATGTGCCATTTCTATTTGAGCAACCAAATATATTTATTGTTATCCTCCAAACTGTGCCATTCCTATAGCTTGTTCTTAACTAATGCCCATCTAAAAGACACGCTGAGTTCTATGTACCATTGCGCACACACGTGGTTGTGAAAACCACATCGACAAATAAATTTTGACCAGAACCGCACAGGCATATTTTTCTCGTTTAGGTATAAAAATCAACACTATATATATGATAATGATTTTTGGATAAAAAAGGTCAGAATCAGATCAAGCCATCCAGAACATATGCTACCGCATAAATACACGGACGACTTAAGGCCAGGCTCAATACAAGTTTTATAGAAATTTTATACATATTAAATAGGGTGCCACTCAGCAGAAATAGAGCTTTTACGTGTATTGAGGAGTAGAAAGAAGGGAACGTTTTGTGGGGACAAAACGAGTGAGCGTTGCTTCCAAGACGTTGGAAAGCGGATAGAAAGCCGATGAAACCCCACTGAGAGCCTCCTTCGTTTCATCCCGTGCGCGAGTGCGCGACTTCTTCCTCCTTCGAGCGCGGGAGGGGAACGCGAGCTCCACCGGGCGCGACTCTGCGGGCCGCGGCTCCGCCGGACGCGAGCTCCGCCGGTTAGGCGGCAGGAGGCGGGTACGCGTCGGCCTTGCCTGAAGGAGGCGGGTAGGCGGCGGCGGGAGCCGCGTACGCGTCAGCCTTGCCGGACGGCGGCGGGTACGCTGAGGGAGGTGGGTAGGCGGCAGGCGGTGGAGGCTGGGTGTATGCGGACTGGGCGGGGGCGTAGCCGTTGGCGGCGCCCGCCGACTGGGTGACCTCGCCGAGCTTGTACGACAGGTTGAGGACTCCCTGGGGTTTGCCGGAGGAGATCTCGCGGACCTGGTACGAGACGAACTTGGCGGGGACGGGGCTGTCGGGGGCGCAGGAGAGGAGCTCGGAGAGCGGGACGTGGACCTCGCCGTCGTCGCGGTCGCCTATGGCGCGCTCGGCGCAGAGGAGGACGTGGAGTGAGCCGGCGCCGGTCGCCGGGACGGCGAAGCGGAGCGTGGCGTTCCAGGTCGGGTTGCTCCGCCGGGCGCGACTCCGCCGGCCGCGGGTGCTGCACGAGAAAGAAGAGGAGGGCGGCAAGTCCCGTGGCACGTCGCGGATGCGGTTCTTCCTCATCGTCTTCTTTGCGAGCTTCGCGTACTACGAGCTGCCGGGCTACCTGCTGAACTGGGCGGGCATCTCGGCGTACCACACGGCAGCCCGCTGGTGGCGCTGTGGGTGTCCATCGCCAACACGGCCGTGGGATTCGTCATGTTCGCAGGTGAGCGGAGCCTTGCTGGCGGCGGGGAAGAGAGGGAAGAGAGAGACACCGGTGGGACCAGAAAGGCTAAAATAACCACATGAACTGTGCAATAAAACTATGCATTGAGAGAGATCCATTTCATGTTAAGTTTCACGTCTTGAAAACTGGACTTTTCGTTGAGACTAGCCTACGAGCATCTTATGCCTTATGATCAACTGTGTACCGTAGTGTGCTGCAACCATTCGTGGCATGCAATGTCATAAATAAACCCATAAGCCCTTTTGTATCTTCTATATGGTCGTGTCGTGCGTGCGTGCCGTGGTTGCTTGCATCGCCATCATACATGCCAACGTCTACAGATGTGATCTTCATTCTTCACAGCGATGCGTCACATGGAGGACCTGACGAAGAAAGTTCCATAGATCGGCTAGCTGGTCACTCATGAACAATGGCTACTATGACTGAAAGGTACGTAGGAGAACAAATTAAAGGCATATAACCAGCACTAAAATATTTACTACCACTACTAACTTAATAAGCATGTGCGTAGAAATGACCCAACAAAACCTAATCATGTGGTCACGCGTGCCACATCACATCTCACCATGCAGTACGGATTTAGCAAATTGAATTCCACAAGACCGGAAGGAAAAAAAACAATATTATCAATATGAACCATTGAACCCCCGTGATTTTCTTTTTCTGAAGTTTACACATTCTAAACACGGAAGGACACTGAAACCAACAAAGCAGGTCCTTTCACCATCCTGAACTACCCAACGACAACAGCAAGCCAGCAGGAGATTCTTTCTGTTCTCACTCCCTCCCATCCCGGCATCCCCAGTGGACGCCCCACAGGCATCTTGCCCCGCTACCAAGAAAGCACAACAGCTCACCTATCTCGTTCTCACCTATCCATCCACCCATCCTTGTTTTTTGTTCCTCATGCATGCATTGTTTCTGTCTGCCGGCCTGATCAGGACAAGCTAGCCATGCCGACATCACCGTCGCTCCTGGACCTCATGAGCCTGCCTGAGCTGCTGTCTCCGTCTCCTGAAGCAGCGGCGGCGGACTCATCCTCAGAAGGCAGCAGCAGCAGCAGCAGCTGTGGCATGGTGCAGGTGGTGCCGAGGGACCTCTCCGACGAGCTCCTCGGCAAGTTCGAGGACACCAGCGAGTTCGGCTTCGAGTATACCCAGAGCGGCCTCTGGTCGCCGCTGGTCCTGCGTCCCGAGGTCCTTGCGAGCGCGGGGCTGGACCGACCGAGGCGCAGCCGCCGGAGTTGGAGGAGGAAGGTTGGTATGGTGAGTTGGTGACCTCTCTAAAGAATTACGGCGAAAGGGTGCTGCAGGTGCTCATCTGCTCCCCCTATCCTGACTGTTGTTGTTGTTTTCTCTGATTTAGGTGTTCTGTTGTTGCTGACATCCAGGCATGCTGTGCAATGTTTATGTTGGACAGGTTCTTGTGTATCTCCTAAACTTCTCCCCAGTCGCTCATGTACAAACTGTTTCGTACTTTAGTTTGGTGATGAAGTTTCTACTTTCGGATATGATATGATGAAGATTACTTTTTACTGGGATGTAAAGATAATACTACTAGGATGCTTGTGGGTTTGTAAGTGCTGGTGTGCCCACTGATTTAATTTGTAGTTTGCCCAGAATCCTGATTAAGCATTGGATGCTTGGGGTTGTAAGTACTTGTTTTTTTTCTCTCGAATAAGTACTTGTGTGTCCACTGATTTATTTTTTTAAGCTTGCTTAAAATACTGTTGCTTATCTTGGCCCATAATTCACCTTTGGGGATTAATGATGCCAAGGTACTGTGACGAATGTGTGTTTTGCGGCAAGATTACTATACGGTGTCACGATATATTGGCCACATGGTTTTCTTGGCCCCCATTATGGTTTTCATTGGATCACTTCAAAGGATATTACCACTTGGTTTGTTGGGATATATGCACTTGAATAATTTAGGACTTTGTTTTTTTTATATCAGGATACACCCGATTTTTCCATTAAGAACGAATCAAGAACAGAGTTCATGAGTAACGACTTGGAGGGAGATTAAAAGACATTACGTCAACACCTGACTCAGGTGGACAGCAAGCCTAAATACTCTCAATCTCCTAGATTAGGGCGCTGCTCAAAAGAAAGTACTAGCATGTATACATCTCAGGTCCTTAGTTTAAACTTTGAAGCAACACAAAGACAATCATATCAGAAGAAACTCCATCCATATCAAATCTGTTCAAGATGGACGTCGCCCTTGTTGTCATCTTCAGAATCTTCCTCAGTCTCAGTGATCAAAAGGGAGGGACGGAGGGTGGTGCTCCAGGGTAAACAACAGCTGAAGGGCAGTCCGGAGGAGCAAGTTCGCGCCCTCGGCCACCTTCTCCTTGATTCCTCTTTGAAAGACCTACCCAAAAATTAAGAACAGAGCAAACTTTTGTAATCATCTCACATGGGTGTTTAATGATCTTTTTATCGAAACAGACTTTGTTTCGATATTTCCATATAGACCGACAAATAGCAACAGTGGTTCGATATTTCCATTAGAGCATCTCCAATAGTTCCCTAAACCCCTTCCTAATCCTTAGTTTTTGGTAAGATGAGAAAAAACCTCTCTCCAACAACTCATAATCCATCCTCCTAATCTTTTAGAACTTGGGAAAAGTCACCACGTCCCACGTAAAGTTACGCGTTTCCGCGCGTATCTTCTGTCCCCGCGTGTGTTTGTCGGCCAATCTAAAGGTAGAAGGGCGTGGAAAGAATAAATAATAGGAAAGGGTTCATAATGCAAATGTACAAGAGAGAAAGAATATATAAAAGTGGTTAGGATAATTTAGAAATAGCATATGATTCCTGATGTAAAATTATCTTCTATATTTTAGGAGTGGATTATTAAAAACTCTTAGAGATTGCCTTTTTTATTCTTTCCAATACTTTTTTAGGAGTTATAAAACTCCATATTTTTGGAAAGAAAATATTGGATAGTCTTGGAGATGCTCTTAGACCAACAAATAGCAACAGTGGGACATACATCTTTCTTGCCGTGAGGCGGCTCCAAGCGACGGGCCTCCGCCGTCGAGGACTTGAGGGCCCCCACCTCTGGATGCTCCTTGGCTGCTGAAAGGTCCTAATATGGCTAGAGGGGGGTGAATAGCCTATTTAAAAATCTACAAACCAACTAGAGCAATTTGATTAGTATGACAAATAGCGAAATGCAAACTTGCTCTAGCTCTACAAGGGTTGCAAGCCACCTATCCAACAATTCTAGTTACTATAATCACTAGACACATAATTTGCTAAGTCACTACTCACTAAGAGCTCTCACACTTGCTATACTAAAGAACTTGCTACAACTAGTTTGCGAGAATGTAAATGAGTGAGTAGGGTGATTATACCGTCGCGTAAAGGAGTGAACCAATCACAAGATGAATACCAATTCAATCATCGGAAGAACACCAAAGGGCAAGAGACAACCAATTTTTCTCCCGAGGTTCACATGCTTGCCGCCACGGCACCCTGCGACCATCAAACTAAGTGTATCACATTGTGCACGTGTGTTAGCATATTTTCACAAACATTTTCAAGGGTGTTATCTTTCCACTAGATCCTAAATGCATATGCAATGAGTTAGAGCATCTAGTGGCACTTTGATAACCGTATTTCGATACGAGTTTCACTCCTCTTAATAGTATGGCTATCGATCCTAAATATGATCACACTCGCTAAGTGTCTCGATCACTAAACCGAAAAGCTCCTATCAATTTCACCTTTGCCTTGAGCTTTTTGTTTTTCTCTTTCTTCTTTTCCAAATCCAAGCACTTGATCATCACCATGGCATCACCATCATCATGTCAGGATCTTCATTTACTTTACCACTTGGAATGTGCTACCTATCTTATGATCACTTTGATAAACTATGTTAGCACTTAGGGTTTCATCAATTCATCAAAACCAAACTAGAGATTTTAGCCGCCGCCGCCGTCTCCGGCGAGCGGTGGCGGCGGCCACGGTGGTGCTAAAAAAGGCGGCCATCTACAGCCCTCTTCCTCCCCCCTTGATCGCCCTCCCTAAGCTCTGCCTGTGGATGTTGGACGGTGGAGAGTCCGCGTCCGCCGGCACCGGATCTGGCACCTCCCTCTCGGGATCCGGTGGCTCCGGCTAGATCCAGCCATCCTGCATGGTGGCGTGGGTGCTCCTCGTTGTGGCCGGCGTAGGCGCGGGCGTCGACACCCCCCTCTCCAGGCTCCCCCTGTTGGCCGGCAGTGAGATCTACGTTTACCCGCGCTGGATCCAGCATTGGGGAGCTGCTGGACCAGCACCTCTTGAAGAAGCCCGCAGTGGGCACGGATGAGGAGTCGGTAGAGGCACGATGGTGGCTGATGAGCTCCTCGCAGGAGGCAATGGCTTTGTACCACAACATCCTTCGAGAGGCGTGGCTCTTCACATGGTTTGATGGTCACAGGGTGCCATGGCAGGAGGCACTACGCGCCATGCCAGGCGCGAGTTCGAGGAGGCCCACATAGAGCACATCACAGAGGTGGTGGCGCGCCTCCTCATCGGTGGTTGCCCCCCTCCTGCGGGCACGCGGTGCATCATCAGGGCGAGGCTACAACGTCTCTTCGGTGTTCCTAGGTATGGAGGCTTGGGCGTCTAGCTCCGTGTGGTCCACGACTCTTCATGTACCCTGCGTTCACCCGATGGCCTCGTGGTCGCTCGCCTATGGGGCTGCTCTTCGACGCATGGGGTTCTAGGAAAAAGCTTAGCCGGGCTTTGGCCGGGCTGACGATAGTGACGCCTCGGACGCCAGATACCTCCTTGGGGCGTCGTTGAAGAATCCCATGCTTCAGGCTGCGTCGTCGGTGTCGGGCTCTGGGCATTAGCCCCACCTTAGCTTAGAAGCTTGAAAGGATCAAGATGCCCAAGAGGGGGGGGTGAATTGGGCTAATTCTAAATTTCTTTGCAATAATTAAGTCATATGGTTAGCCCAATTAACCTCTTGTGCCTAGAAAATGTTTCTATTGAACTAACGCACAAAAGACTTGCAACCTAAGTTCCAATCCTACTCTAGCATGGCAATTCTATGAATGTAAGAACAAGAATTGAATTGCTCAATGTAAATGCTTAAAGTAGATGCTCAAAGTAAATAGAGAGGAGAGGAAACGTGGCGATGTTTTGACGAGGTATCGGAGAGTCACCACTCCCCACTAGTCCTCGTTGGAGCACCCACGCAAGAGTGTAGCTCCCCCTTGATCCGCGCAAGGATCAAATACTCTCTACGGGTTGATTCTTCGACACTCCATCACGGTGAATCATCCACAACCGCTCACAACTTGAGTTGGGTCATCCACAAGCTCTCCGGATGATCACCAAGCTCTCAATCACCACCAAGCCGTCTAGGTGATGGCGATCACCAAGAGTAACAAGCACAAACTCTCACTTGACCATGACAAGCCTAATGAGATGGGTGGATGCACACTTTGCTACTCTTGATCTCACTAATGAGGGCTCTCTTTGGGATTCTCAAATCTCAATCACCTCACTAGGACCTTGCTCTTCTTGGCACTCACAAACATGTTTCTCAGTTGTTGGAATGAGCAAAAGTACCCCCACACACGAGTGGAGGTGGTATTTATAACAAGGGCTAAAAAACGAACCGTTATGTGCCTCTGCGGGGTGACCGGACGCTCCGGTCAGTATACCCCAAACTCCAGTGTTTACAGTGTGACCAGACACGTCTGGTCATGATTTTCCCTCTCTGGAACCTTATTAGAGTCGACCGGATGCTGTCTTTCAGCGTCCGATCACATGACCTCTCAGCGCCCGGTCGCGCCAAACGCAATCACCTTGGTCAAATGAACTGACTGGACCCTGAGCCAGCGTCCGGTCAAACCGGAGCTAGCGTCCGATCAGTAATTGACCCTCCATTCACTTTCAACTCTCGATCATATGTGAATGAAGTTTGCTCCATTGGATCTAAGGGCTATTTTGGAGCTACCTAGTGCTAGTTTTAACAAGTGTGCACCACACCTAACTCACTAGACTCACCTAGGTCAAGCTACCCATCCATACCCCCCTTAATAGTACGGCCAAAGGAAAAACAAAGTCCTAAACTACTCTAAGTGTCTCTCCAACTCCAATCGACACTTAGAACTAGTCATCCTTAACCTTGTCGTCCGTCCTTTGAAAACCGAAACGATTTCCATCATAGGGGCATGACCACCATGATTGCCCAATCGATCTCTATTACCATGACCTAACTTAATTGCCTCTGCAAAACATACGTTAGTCATAGTAATCTTGTATTGTCATTAATCACCGAAACCCAACTAGGGGCCTAGATGCTTTCAATCTCCCCCTTTTTGGTGATTGATGACAATACCACCTCGAGTATGTGAAAGAGTTGAGGTTTTTAAC